GTCAGATAAACACCCTTTGAAGGAGAGACTGAAAGTGAGCAGATATCGCCGCTAGACTTTCTTTCTCCTCCAACGCACCAAGTGAGTCACATCCTCCTCCCCCTCTCCGCGTTTCCCTTCTCCTTCTCGCTCGTCTGATTCCTCCTCCTCCTGTGCTCCAGCAGGAAGAGGAGGGAAAGGGGGGGATTGTTTTGCACTTGTCAACTAAAGTGACAACTTCCTGCAGTTTTCTTTCCGCCCTGCTCCCTCCTCCTCGCTCCTCCTCCTCCTCCTCCTTGCCCCCCTCCTCCACCTTGTCGTCTCCTCCTCCTGGTCCTCTCCTCATGCCTCGCAGAGACTCCTCGGGACCGCGTTGTCCCCGTCACTCCCGGCAGAAGCGTCTTCCTCGCACCACTCCGTCGCGTCCTGCGAGAAATTCCTGGGGGGGGACCCAACAAGCCGCCAACTCCTAAGAGCATCGAGCCAGGTCTCCTCCCACTCCCACTCCCATCCTCCTCCTTCTTCCTCCCTCGCCTCCTCCTGCCCTCTTCCTCATCCTCCCCTTTCGCTCTGACTCTGCTGGTCTCCTGCTCCCTCGCACTTCTCTGCTCAGCAAGCGTGACCTCGCCGAGCCTTCTTCCTCACTTCTCCGATTGGACAGCGTACAGGAAGAGCGAGGTGCGGAGGAGGATCGAGAGGAGGAAGAGGGGCGAGAGAGGAGGGGGGGGGGAGGAAAGCGAGGGGAGGAGGGGAGGAGGGGAGGAGGGAAGGAGGGGAGGAGGGGGAGGAGGGAAGGAAGTGATAGAGGAGGGGAGGAAGGGGTCGTCTGAAGGATGCAGCAGGAGGGAGATCATGTGAGCACGGGGCTGCTGGGAATGGGAGGCGCTGCCTTCGATCCGACGTCATGGTTCTCACATATCGGTGAGGCCAAGGACGGGGAAGGAAAGAGGAGGGAGGAGGAGGGAGGAGGGAAGAAGGAGGAGGGAGGAGGGAGGAGATGAGCAAGTAAATTAGATTTTCACTCTTCTCTCTCTCCTCGCTCAGTCTCAGTCTGTCTTCTTGCTCGGCTTCTTCTTTTCATCATCCTTCTTGTCGAAACCAAACCCGGAGAGCGCCGCATCATGCGTGACCTTCTCGCCTTTGCCAAACACCTGTGCCAGCTTCTTCAACTTCCTGTCCCTCCTCCTCCCCCTCCAACTCCTCGTCCTCGTCCTCCCCTCATGTCTCCTTTCCTCTCCTCTCCACTCTCACCATCTCGTACACGCCATCCTCGGGAGCTCCACCGATCTCGTCGGGGCAGAGGAAGCAGACGCCGACGAGGCGCGTCAACCACTCCCAGGGGTTTTCAACCTGCTGCGCGTGAGACAACCGACCAGGCTGAGGAGGAGCAAGAAGGAGAAGGGAGGGAGGGAGGGAGGGAGGGAGAGGAGTGAGAGGAGGGAGTGAGAGGAGGGAGTGAGAGGAGGGAGGGAGTGGGGGAGAGGAGGGAGAGGAGAGGAGAGGAGGGAGGGAGATGAGGGAGACCTTGAGAAGCTCATGAACTGAGAGCACGAAGACCCACAGAAGCCAGATGCACGTCCTCGCTTGATCGTGCTGGGAGCGAGTCAGAGGGTGAAGCAGATGGAGAGAGGAGGCGGGAGCCAAAAGACAGAAGGCCCGATGAGACTGGCGACGAGGAGCAGCTGGCAAAGGAGGAGCAAGGAGAGCAGCAGGGCAGGAGGTTTTCACCGTAAGAAGTGCGTCTTTGCCGTAGGGGAGGAACTCGTGGGGGTTACGGAGGAGGTAGTAGACGCAGGAGGTGAAGAAGGCCGTTCTGACGGTCATGGACGGGCCTTTGAGCACAGGGGGAGTTCCGAACATCCAGTCTGAGCTCTGCCAACCCCTCAGTCCTCCTCCTCCTCCTCCTACTCTCCCTCACTTCCTCTCACCTTTCCGATCATGCCCAACCAGTTGGCAAGGATTCCTCCTCCACAGCCTGCGATCATCCCGCAGAAGATCGCCATTGGTCCGGACCCCACCACCTCACCATCCCGTCATGACCCCACCACCTCACCATCCCGCCATCACCCCACCATCACTCCATCCCGCCATCACCCCAACTCATCTTGACCCTCCTCCTGCCCCCTTCTCCCTCCTCCTCTCTTCCTCACCATGTGCGCACTTTTCAGGGCCCCATCGGCGCCCCAGGAGGAGGTAGCGTGACCGCAGGAGAAGGAGTTGATGTAGCCGAAGACAAGTTCCACGCTCCGATGCCGCGTGATGAACTTGTATGGCACGTTCCTTCAACGTCGTCAGACTCTTCATGCTCCTCCTCCCTCCCTCCCTCCCTCCCTCCCTCCCTCCCTCCCTCCTCTCCCTCCCTCAACTTCCTCATTCCTCCCCTTCTTCTAATCCTCTCCATGAGAGACTTGCTTGTCACCCTCCACTACCTGTCCTCCCTCCCTCTCCTCCTTCCTCGCTCACCCTGGGCAGCAGAAGATCAGCCAAAAGGCGAGGAGGAAGGCGAAGGGACTGCTGAGCGAGCCCATCCAGCCTGGCGGTTGCCCGAGAAAGAGAGCAGCAACGGTCGTTCCTCCGAAGGTTCCCACGGCACAAGAGATCAAAACCTGCAACAAGATCAGGACCAGGCTCGACTCTTCTCCCTTCCTCTACCCTCCCTTCTTGCTCACGACCTCCTTCCCGCTTCTGTCCCATCTCTCACCCCTCTAACTTCCCCCTCCGTCCCCAGTCCTCTACCTGGAGCCAGGGATGTTTAGCCTTCCCCATATGCCTGCGGTAGGAGGCACAAGTATCAAGCGCGAGGATGAGATCGAGGAAAGACGAGTGGAAGGGGAGCAGCGGGATGGCCCAGCTCTCTGACTGCAAGAAGACGTCCTGGATACTATCGAACGATGCCATCATCATGTTCCTCGACACAGGTTCTGTGAGGCAAGTCAATCCACTCAGCTCTCACATCCCATCCTGCTCCCCCGCGTATCCCCCCCGGACTCCCCCCGGTTCCTTCTCTTGTCTCCCCACTTCCGCATTGATTGTTTGAAGACCATCCATCCTATCACTCCCTCACCGCTGTCTCACACTCTCATTTCTTCTCTCTTCCTCTCTCCCTCCCTATCCTTGTACTGCTCTTAGACATCCTTTGATTCACTCTGCCCTCCCCTGTATCCAATCCTATTCTTCCGTTCCACTATCCGTCTGTTCTGTCTTGCAATCTCTTGTCCTGGCTTGTCCTGGCTTTCTTTCTGCTCCCCTTTCCTCCTCTTTCCACCCTCTCCTTTGCTTCTCCACCTCTCCCCTGCTCTCCTCCTCACTCCTCTCTACCCCTCTGCTCGCTTCTTCCTCCATCTCCTCTCTTTCCCCACCTCGTCATGTCTTCTACTCCCCTCCTCTCTCCTCCCTCTCTCCTCCCTCGCTCCTCCCTCTCTCCTCCTCTCTCTACCCATCCCTCTCTTACCTTCGATCTTGACCGTTTTCCTCCACCACGCCATGTTCGCAGCCTCCAAGGGCTCACCCTACCCCAAAAACAACTACCCTACCCAGGAATATTGATACCACCCCTTGTGGTCAACCCCCAAATTCATATAAAAGATCCTACAAGAAATACCACCCCACCTCTCTCATATCACCCACCCTACCTAGGATCTTCCTGTACCCCACCACACCTATTCCTCCGTTCGCTCCGCTGAGTCACAAAAAATCCGCCGATGGCCCGGCCGGCCCGCCGCTTAATTAACGCCGGGCCCGGCGTAGTACTACGCCGGGTACGAGCGGAGTCCGTACCGTACGGTCTCGGCCGGCCCCCGGCGCCGGGTGACCCACGGGGCCATGCCGGCACATGATGGGCCCCGGCCGGGCGCCGGGCGCCGGGCCGCAGACGGTCACCGTACTGTACGGTACTGGCACGGTGAGTCACTAGTACTGAGTGACCGTCTGCGGACTCCGCCTCGGAGCCTGGGCCGCCCCCGGGCCCGGGCCGCGGCCCCCGGCGGTGACGGACAGTGCTTGAAACAGATTCTAAAGTTTACTCTCACTTTCGAGTAAGAGTCAGTTTTAGTATCCTGGGGGTTAGACCGTCTTGGTCACACTACAGTGAGTCATACCATCATTCAATGCCAGGGCAAGTTCCGAGCCAAGGCTTACTAAGTTAGTAACTTGACGGGCCGCCGCGGGCCCCGGCCCGGCCCGGGGTTGCCGGCGAGCACCCCGGGCGTACTACGGTAGTAACGGCAGTGATCATCAGATCAAGTAGTAAGGTGCGGGCCCGGCCCGCACTGCGGCGCCGCTACTACAGTGAGTCCCTGAGTCTAAAGCCTCGCCGGAGCACTTTGATATAAGTCAAATTCCTACGGCCGGGCCGCGCGGCGGGCCCGGTGGCGGCATTGGCAACTTGAAAACAGTTCGGAACTCGGAAGTTGAACTTTTGAGAGTACTTGGCAAAGTTGGTAGGCCCAGATCCGTCCGAACTTTCAGTGGACCCCTGTGAAATAGGGGACTTCTCCGCCTGAGATGAGGGTGGGGTACCTCGAGGGCTGTAACTTACCAGGCGCAACGAGGAGACGTTACTCACCACCCCTAGTCATCACCTAAACCACCCCATCCCTCCCCTATCTCTGTTCACAATGCCATACACCCACCCCTCTACATCATATCTTGTGGTCATCGGAGGGGTAGGGTAGGTGACCAGATCCTTTCCTCTTGGTACCCCCCTACCCCCCCAAGGCCTGACTTTATAACCCCACCCCAACATATAGAAGTGACCAATAGCAAAATGTATTTTAAAAAAGAAGTAGTCTCAAGTCTAGTCCCCACCTTACACCCGCACTATGCTGCTCCTCCCCCGTCCTCTTTCCCTTCTTCTCTGCTCCTTCCCTTCCTCTTCAGGCATATCCCTCGCTTCTCTTCATCCTTCAACCTCCTGCCTCCCTATTGACTGATCCTATCCTATCTCCTTGACCCATCCTCTGTTGTTTTGACATACCTTCTTCCCAGTACGAAAAACAGTTCGCCTTTGGTCCTATCGCCTTTCTGTTCCTCCATCTTCGCCTTCATTGTGCACGATTACCCTGATCCCGCTATTTTCTTCCAATTTCTTTCTCACACGACTGATAAGTTGATTCGCTCCACCCTCCCTTTCATTTTACCCCCTTCTCATGATTGCTGCTCGCAGAGTGCTGCGCAGCTTACACGAGCCAGTCGGTTGCGATGACTTCAGCGAGTCTCGAGCAGCAGATTCAGGTCTCTTCTTGGTAACATCTTGGAAGCTCAACGAGTCTGTAGGAGATCTTCACGCAATTGCGTTCCTTGTCTGCTGCCATCAACCAGACCAATGTGAGCGACTCCTCGGCTGATGGCGGAGGGTCCTGACTCCTTCTAGGCTCTTGTCAGGCAACAGCAACATCAAATCGAAAATCTCTCCTCCCAAGATGTGAGTCATGAGAACTTTAAGGGTCTTGAATCGGAAGGATTGAGATTGACTGGTTGCTCGTCGCTTGTTTTCCAGTCTGTGCATTCTACAGCCATTTCATTCCTTGAGAAGGTCAACATGATGCATGCGGCAATTTCATGCTGAGCTTTGATGTATGCAGAAAGCTCACTCCGGTGACACATCATGGATGTTAAGTACGAGATCAATGTCAGCAAGGCTTCTCGCTCGTAACTTCCTCTGCAGTGTCGACTGCTCTGGTTGTGATGATGACAACTCCTGGCCTCGCCATGTTCTACGGAGGACTCGCACAGGTGCGGGTGACCTGAGGAAGTCTGTCGATCTTATCGAATCTGCCCAAGGCTCCCAACGTCTTGTCGACTGTCATGCAAAGTTTCTCCATCATGTGCATCGTCAGCTTCTTGTGGTTTGCTATGGGCTACTCGTTCGCCTTCGCCGAGGTACCACGCCGCCTGCTTCTCCTGAATGACTGAGCTTCTCGCATCTCTCAGGGTAGCGTCATCGTGGGCAACAGCTCAAAGTTCTGGCTTGCACACATGGACGGGCACAGAGTGAAGGATGATTCGGAGAAGCTCTTCATGGTCTATCAGATGACCTTCGCCGTGATCAGGTGAAAACCTCGAGCATCTCGCTCATTTCATGATACTGGTGGCAGTGCTGCAATCATTTGTGGGTCCTTCGCTGAGAGAATGCGATTCAGCGCCATGCTCGTCTTCGTCGCGATCTGGCATCTGCTCGTCTACTGTCCTGTCGCTCACTGGGCTTGGGGTCCCGGTGGTTTCCTGCATGCAGCTGGATGTCTGGACTTTGCAGGCGGGGACGTGGTGCACGTGAGCGCTGGGGTGACAGGCCTGGTTGCTTCCATGCTCGTTGGAAAGAGAAGGTCGCTTTCTCTCGGTCAAGAGCTCACTCCTCATAACGCGCTGCTCGTCTTCCTCGGAGCCTCGCTGCTGGTGAGCCTCCCCTGTCTCAGTTCGGGGCGCTAAGAGCTGTGCGGTAGTGGGTCGGATGGTTCGGCTTCAACGCTGGCTCCTCCTTCGCTGCGGACGATGTCGCGATCAACGCTATGGCAGCCACACAGATGTCTGGTGACTTGAGCTGCTGCTGGGGGTCCAGACTGACTCTAAGGCTGCAGGAGCTTGCGGGGGCCTCACGTGGATGATAGTCGAGTGGGTCTATGCCAAGAAACCCTCGGTCGTAGGGATCGTCAGGTAGTTTGCAGCTCCCCTGTCCTGCTCGCCCCCAGCTGATCTCTTGCAGTGGGTCCATCTCTGGGCTGGTCGTTGTCACCCCCAGCTGTGGGTACATCGATCAGACTGGAGCTGTTTGCATCGGAGCGCTGGGAGGGCTCGCCTGCTTCTTCAGCATCCAACTGAAGCACGTGCTGGTACGCCTGCCCATGCGCATCCCTGCCAGTAACGAGAGGCTAGGGGTATGACGACGCTCTCGACGCCTTCGGCATGCATGGCATCGGCGGCGTCCTCGGGTGCATCCTGACAGGATTCTTTGCGAACAAGCACGTGAGCGGCAAGGAAGAGATCAACGGGGCCTTCTACGGAAAGCCTTCACAGGTCAGTCTCATGCTGCGTGAGGTGTGAGGGAGTGAGGTGAGTTGGTCATCAGATCTACATCCAGCTCTACGGCGTCGTTGTCATCAGCGTGTACTGTGCTGTCATGACTTTCTTGATCCTCAAGCCCTTGGACCTGGTCCTCCACTTCGAAGCTTCCTCCCCTCCCTGATGTGACGGCAGGTCATGCTCAAGACTTTAGGCATTGGGATTCGATGCTCGCCGGAGGAGGAGAGCCAGGGACTTGACATCTCGCAGCACGGAGAGTCGCTGATTGTCGACGCGTCTCTCCTCGGATCCCCCAAGGTCGTTCCTCCGCTCCTCTCTGCTCTCGTCATGGTCCTCCTTGTCCTCCTTGTTCGCTGACTTGGTTACAGTTGAAGCTTGGCAAGGGGGATAGCAGCGGGAGAAGCAGCGGGGCAAGTAGCGGGGTAAGCAGTGGATGGGCAGCTGTAGATACAACGATATCGCGAGTGATTGTGAGCGAGCCGGTTACGGTGACCAACAAAGTCTTGCCGTTCGAGCAAGACGTCGAAGAAGGAAGAGGGAGGGAGCAGCACACGGATGATGGTAGTCTTACATAAACTCTCATACGAAGGAAGAGAGAAGGAGCAGCACACGGATGGCAGTCGTACTGATGGATCGCATGCCAGCCGTGCCAGTCAGATAGCGCCGAGTCAACACAACTCTCCTGTAAACCAGAATGACCCTGACGTGTTGTGAGGCGGCAATGTAGCCTAGACGACTCGGTCTTGAGCAGAAACTGAAGTAACTACTACTGTCTTGTTGCAGCTGAGGTCGACTCTCACATGAAGTAGTCTTACATCAGCTCTCACATGAAGTAGTCTTACATCAGCTCTCACATGAAGTAGTCTTACATGAGCTCTCACATGAAGTAGTCTTACATGAGCTCTCACATGAAGTAGTCTTACATGAGCTCTCATACACTGGCCGCACTTGCCGGTAGCTGCGTCGAGACCTTCAACACTCGCAAGTTGGCGTGGCGGCGACTTCCAGGGCGACTTCCTTCTATGAGCAGGATATGAGGGGGATGATGGGTGCGAGCGGAGATGTGGATACGGAGGCCGCGCAGGTACGAAGCGGACGATGGGCGGGAACGGAGGGACGAGGACGAGGACGAGGAGCAGAAGAAGAAGCGCAATGAGCGAAACTTCTCTCGCCCTCTTGGTTTTGTTCAGCTGCGGATGCCTCGGACCGGTTCATGGCTTCAGAGCATCGAGCTCGATGCTTCCGGGAAAAGCTTGCAAGGCAACATCATCTATGCAAGGCAGCATGCGGATGAAGATGCCGGAGCATTATGTTGGGATCCCGAGGGGACGAAGATCTTTTCTACCGTCTTTCCTCACCTTCAACGACGACAGAAGGGATTTAGCGCCAAGGCCGGGGCAAACAACACTGTTGCGAGCCTCCGAGGGAATGGGTGGCGCATCTGCGGACGAGGAGGTGCTGGAGGCGATGCGGTCGATGACGATGAATGAGCTCAAAGCTGAGCTTCGACGAATCGGACTTCCAACAACTGGCAAGAAGACAACACTGATAGCACGACTGATCTCCTCTTCCGATTTCGACCCGAAGAATGCCAAGGAGCAAATGATGAGAAAAGAAGAAAAAGAAACAGAAATAGATTCAACACAACAGAGCAAACCGATTCAGCCAACCCAAGAACAACCACTCAAACCTTCCAAACAGCGAACCAAGACGCAAGCTATGAAAACATCAAGCGGTACCGGCTTTGGAAAACCAAAAAATGACGAATACATCATTCAAGCGAACAAGCTCCTGCAGGAAGCTGAGCAGCTGCTGGCCAAGGGCGACCTGGCTGGCGCCGGAGAGGCGGCCAGGCGAGCAGGCGCAGAGTACGAGAAGGCAGAGGCAGGAGAGGTGCCGGCGCTGGCGAAGCTGCGCAAGCGGCTTGAGGAGGAGGAGCAGAAGAAGCAAGCGCAGGCGGCGATGATCGCAGCAGGCGACAAGCAGGTCGAGGAGGCAGAGCAGCTGCTGGCCAAGGGCGACCTGGCTGGCGCCGGAGAGGCGGCCAGGCGAGCAGGCGCAGAGTACGAGAAGGCAGAGGCAGGAGAGGTGCCGGCGCTGGCGAAGCTGCGCAAGCGGCTTGAGGAGGAGGAGCAGAAGAAGCAAGCGCAGGCGGCGATGATCGCAGCAGGCGACAAGCAGGTCGAGGAGGCAGAGCAGCTGCTGGCCAAGGGCGACCTGGCTGGCGCCGGAGAGGCGGCCAGGCGAGCAGGCGCAGAGTACGAGAAGGCAGAGGCAGGAGAGGTGCCGGCGCTGGCGAAGCTGCGCAAGCGGCTTGAGGAGGAGGAGCAGAAGAAGCAAGCGCAGGCGGCGATGATCGCAGCAGGCGACAAGCAGGTCGAGGAGGCAGAGCAGCTGCTGGCCAAGGGCGACCTGGCTGGCGCCGGAGAGGCGGCCAGGCGAGCAGGCGCAGAGTACGAGAAGGCAGAGGCAGGAGAGGTGCCGGCGCTGGCGAAGCTGCGCAAGCGGCTTGAGGAGGAGGAGCAGAAGAAGCAAGCGCAGGCGGCGATGATCGCAGCAGGCGATGTTGGTTCTGAGGTGAGGATGTTTTTTTTGTGTGTTGATTTTTATTCCGTTCATTTCGTTTTGCTTGTTGTTTGCATGATATGATTTGATATTGTTGCTATGACCTTTATGTTGCCTTTCTTTGTTTTTAACTTTGTTTTGGTCAAGTCGATCAAGGATGCAAATGTTCAAGATGAGTTGCTTGATTGGGCTGATTTTGCTGAAGAAGTGAGTTCAATCTTGCTTTTTCTTCCTTTTCTTCTTGCCTCACTGTTATTCTCTCGCTCCCCCTCCATCTTCCCGTTCTCCCCTCTCTCTCACTCGCCGTCAGGATCAAGACTTCGAGATCACCGGCAAAGGTTTCAAATTTCCTGAGCCGCAGCTGAAGGAGCAGAAACTCGACGTGGACGAGGAGCCGCCGCGAGCCAACATGACCAAAGAGCAGCTGCTGGAGGCCTGGAAGGCGCGAGCTCAGGTGTACAGGCGCCGCATCGACCGAGTCAACGACCAGGTGCTGAGAGCTCTGCTGGGGTGTCTGCTGAAGGCTAGTAGGTGCTGGAGGTGTTCCGAAGGTATGACAAGCGCGCGACGGGGACGATGGCGATGGGAGACATGCGGGAAGCGTTGACAAGCCTTGGCATCCAACTCTCAGACAAGGAAATGACGTCCTGCCTTCACGCCTCTTCTCTCCCTTGCCCTGCTCTGCCCTGCTCTGCCCTCCTCATTCTCTTTGCTGGTCGCCTTCATGCCCCTGACGCTGCCGCAGGAGCTCGAGGACATCAAGCTCTCTGTCCCGCTCATCGGCCCTGACCGATGCTCCGCCAATGCCTTCCAGAAGGTCGTCGAGAACTTCAACCCGGCGCTCCGTGTGTCAACCGGGCCCTCTTTGACCTCCCAGGTGCCTCTTCGCGCTTCTCAGCTCGTTTGTCAAACTAGTCCAGCTGGGGCTGACAATTTCTCAGGTCTTCAAGGTTTTGGGTGAGGGTCTCGTGCTGGCTGGTGGGGTCGTGAAACGGGCGGTGGAGCAGAGAAGGCAGGAGAAAGAGGCGGTAGAGACGCTGACGTCGCTGCTCAAGGAGACCTCCAAAAAGCCTCCAGCTGCAGGCGGCGTTGGAGGGGCGGTAGCTGAGAAGAAGCAGGAGGCAAAGAAGGAGCTGGGGGAGTGGCGGGAAGCGATCGATGCTTCATCAGGGGAGGTGTACTACTGGAACACAGTGACGCGAGAGGCGAGCTGGACTCTTCCGAGCTCCTCCGACTCGACAAGCTCACGGAAGTGAGAGCTGGGGGGAAGCAGGAAGGCAGCAGAGGAGAGGGGAGGGGAGGTGGAGGGAGGTTGATATAGTTTACAGCAGGGGAGGTGGAGGAAGATACATATGATACACGAGACTCACTGCTCCCAAACTTTGATGAAGCCGTCGATGGAGGACGTGACCAGACGCTCTCCTGCTCCTGCCGCAGAGCTCACGGCGCCTCTGTGCCCTCGCCTGACTCTCTCGATCGTCCAGTCCGTCACGTTCCACTCGATGACCGTCATGTCTGCCCCGGTGCTGCAGGCGAGGCGTCAGCAGGAGGAGGGCCAGGCGTACCCGAGGCTCTCGTACCTGACCAGCTTCTCTCCGACGCTCTCTAGCGACAGGATAGGTCCGCTGTGGGCAGCCATCGTGTGCTCGAGCCTCCAAGTCCGCAAGTCGTACGACCTGATGGCTCCGTCCGCCCACCCCGAGACCCTGCGGCTGCGAGTCAAAGCAGAGCTGCAGGGCGAGCTGACTCACAGCTTCGCCTCCTCTCGTTTCAGCTCGGCGTTGTAGCTGGAGATCACCAGCAGCGGGCGCACCCAGACTCCCCTCTGCGTTGGAGCAAGAAGCTTCCGCTCTACCTCCCAGCTCTTCAAGTTCCACACCCAGATACACCCGTCGTCCACCGACGCCATCAGGTGCTTCTTCGACGCTCGCACGGCCCCGACCACGAGGCCCGACAGCTTGCTCGCCTCCCTTGCCTCCAACACTCGAGGGTCCAGCGGCCTGCGCTTGGAGAGCTGGGGCACAGGTGAGGGGCGGGAAGGGATGGACACAAAGGGTACCTGAAGGCCCGCGGACATGGCGCGCAGCACTTGCGTGTGGTTCGTCAGGCGTTGCCGCAGCTTCCACGTGCGCGTGTTCCACACCATCACCGCCCCCTTGCAGGCCACCGCGAGCGTCTGGTCGACCAGCTCGAGTGCCAGCGGCTCGTCGTGTCCTCGCAGCACATGAAGGCACTCGGACGTTCTTAGGTCCCACACGCGGACCGTCTGATCGTCAGAGGCTGAGATGAGGAGCCCTTGCGAGCTGTCGATGACGATCGCCGTGATCCAGCCCTCGTGCCCCTCGAACGTGCGAGTCGGACGGGACTCATTTAAGTCCCACTCAGTGATCACTTGATCTGCCCCCGCGCTGTAGAGCTTGTTCTCCGCCACCTGAGCTCGCGTCAAACAACCACCCTGCAGCATCTCAAGGACTTGCCTTCACGTCCAGCACAGCGGATCCAGTATTCCATTCCTTGATGATCGCGTTGGTCCCCCGGTGTAGCGATTGAGGAGACACATCAGGACGAATCAGTCCTCGACGTTTGAGCTCAGACAGGGGAACTCCTCCCATTCCCGACTCGATGCTCGCCGACCGCTCATTTTCTAGCCGTCGCTTCTCCCAGTACCCCGGGTTGACGATGAAGGAGGACCTTTTCTCCTCTTCCCTTGGCTGTTGCAACATGGTGAACTTACGCATGAGCGCCTGGAGCGATTGCTTCTGGATCTCTCGCTGCGCGTTCAATCCTTCTCTGAGCATCCGCGATGAAGAACTTGTGCTGTCAGTATCCCAATCAGGTCTCAGTCGAGACTTCCACCGCCCTTGAGGAGAGGAGGAGGTTTGGTTTCTTGCAATTGCAGGTTTCTTCGTCTCCTGCTTGCGGGCCTGACTCTTCGTCTGTTGTTCATCGATGAGAGGAGGAGACGAAGAGAAGTTCATCTCCGACATCTTGTAAGAACGAGCAGCTGCAGCCTGAAAGTATAGGTTGGCACGGGGCATGACAAACATTCATCTCTCACCACATTCTCGTTCTTGCCGATTCCTCGACCTCTCCTCTTCTTGGGGGCGCTTCCTGGACCTGCGACATCGTCCGAGCTCTCAGCGGATCGAGTGTCTGCCTCCACGTTGCCGCCCTTGGTCTGCATCAAGACCCCGACAAGCGACGGGCAGCTGGCGGCTATTGCGCTCCTCGCCAGACCCGTCCAGGGTTGTACGAAGCCTACGACCCGTCCCTGGTCCAACCCACGGCGCAGGCCATGACGGCAATCCGGTCGAAGGCACTCACTAACGATGAAGGAGGAGCTTGAGTCGAGCCAGACGGTCACCAAGAACGAGACGATCGCACCGGCCCCTCGACATGCTGACATAGCTACTAGTGCCCCGGATACTCAAACCTGTACATAAAAACCTCTTCCTGACCTGCTCGTTTGAGATCAGCTCGTTGACATAAACCCAACAATGCATCGTAAACAAGTGCACAAAACTACACAGCATGTCATGCTCGTTCCATGGCAGTTGATCATACCCCCTTGCAACCCTTTCCCTTTTCCCTCCCTCAAGATTGCTACTAAATTGCTCTGTGCCTTTGCTCCCACTTTTCATCGAGCTAAACTTCTTCCGTCGCACGTGCATCTCATGGTACATATTTCATGACCTCACAGTGCGTCCTCCACTTCCTTCGCTGTCATCCTCACCCTCTGTTGCCTGGTCTTACACCTTCCTTTGCGTTAGTTCACCTACATTCTTTCAATCTACCTTCCACGTCTTCCTCTTCCTTTTCCCCTTCCAGATCTCATACCCAGGTGTATCCGCTATCACTCTTCCTCTCCGCCCTCTCCTTCCTCCCCGTCTTCTCCCTCCCTCCTCCCTCTCCCCGCCGCAACCCTGCATGTATCGCCGCTTATATGTTCTTGACCCTCGTCCCCCCTCTTACCCTGTCAGCCGTTGAGGATGACAGGCACTTTACGGCTGCACCGTCAGTCGGACTGCAGCTCCCCGGGCCCCGTCTGTCAGTCTCAGTGACTGGCCGGGCCCGTGCCGCTGGCCCTCAGTGACACCGACGACAGGTCGGGCCGACAAGCCGACTAGCATAAGCCCATGTTATGGCAGCCCGGGCCGAAAAGGAAACGGCATCCCGAACACTCATATTCGGAGCCTGTCAATGACCGTGACCGGCGGGGGAGTCGGCGTCCCTAGTTTCATTCACGGTTGAACTTAAGGCGCAAGTGAGGAGAAAGGCAAGTCTTGTTGTAGTCTCGTTGGATGGCTGCGAGTGGATGGTCGCGTTGGATAACCTACGGCATTCGGAACGAGTCACTGCGTGGGCCCCCGGACCGGGAACAGGTGATGATGAAATTTCGCTTGAATCACTCACCGGAAAAGGACAGATCACCTTGATACAAGTGTTATCATATACATCATAGAAGGGCCTTCCAGACTGCAGCATTCTATGAGACACAGTGGACGCAGAGGAGGGAGGATACCGCCAGACCTCCTCCCATTCCACTCGCTAAGATCGCATAGGAGGATCGCGAGGTCGCCACGAGAGCATCCACTTTACCTGAGCACCGTGAGGTCTGAGAGATTCGCAGCTTCATGTGCTCACTCAGCAGCAGCACGTTCTTCCATCCATCCAGCAGAGCACGCTTACCCTGCCTTCCCGGCTCAACCGATTCTAACACCAGAACCTCCTTCCCCAGCACACGGCGAGCAAGCTCAATTCCACTCTAGAGCACCCTGAGCACGCGACTGCAAGGCATCCGATTCGTCACCTGAGCATCTGAAGCCACGAAGATCTTGGAGGCCTAGATGTAGGAAGCATCAAAGACCGAACAAGGCACTAGGCCTGCTACTCACGTCTCCATGGGACAGGAACTCAGCACAGCGCAGAGCCGTGTGCTGTTCCTGCTCGGTCATGTACTTGACCTGCTGCACTTCAGCTTGTGACTCCACCAGTCTCAGTCGCACCGTCCGCAGGTGGACTCCGATGATCTTGTAGCCGGCGAAGTTGCGGAGGTAGAAGCTGAAGTGCGACCTCTGTTACAGCCATCCATAGGATGCTCCGACTGACCTGTCCACGTGCTTGCTGATGTCGGGAGATGGAGACAAGATGTAGCGCGATATCGATGAGAAGAGAAGTTCTGTTCTACCTTGAATCGCCTTTCTGCCACCACGTAAATGCCATCGCGAGTTTTATGGTGTTGGCAGAGAGAAAGTCAAAGACAACGTACGGAATCGATCCTTCCGACAAGATTAGACCAGCAAAGTACGAAATGGCTTCACAAGACGTCAGGGATCCAAGGCTGTCGGTGGGTTCAGGACCTGTTAGCACGACTACCCGATCATCCTTGAGACTTTGTAGACCGTGACGAGAATGGAACTGAATCGCCTGCAAGAGCAAGAGTCTGCTACCTCCACATGATGATGAGATCAGTTGATGTCCACTCACTGCTACATCGTCGTCACGCAAATGCTTCCACGACTTGAAATCCCAGGCAAACTCCCTCATCAGCTGCTCGTTGGAATGTAAAGGAAAAACGGTGAAAGAGAGCAAACACGCCATGCCTTGTCGTTGTTGAGAACTTGATTCAACTCAATCTTCACAGGCAAACTCAAGAAGTGACCAAGATCGATCATGGTAGAGACTTCCTTGCTCCGATGTACGATTGGTTGGTCGTACGACACCCACTCAACGACCAATGCTCTGTCGGAAAGAAAACTCCACACATACCCGGAAACAAGAGCGACCAGACGATTGCCAAGGCCAGCTGCTTGTTCCATCCTCAATAAGAGAGCCTTTGAGTTCTTGACATCTTGGAGGAAACGGTTCTGAGTCGATTCAAACTTGTCGCTCATCTCAGCAAGTTCGTATCGCCTCTCCTCTTGCAATCTCCGAAGAAGCATTGCAAGCTTGTCATCGCTCAGGTTGTTCGAACTGTTACAAGAAGGTACAACACAGCAGAGGAGGAGGAGGAGGAGGAGGAGGTCGGGAGGTCGGGGACGGAAGGCAGGCGCAACCATCCCCACCACTCTGAGCACCATGGTCAGTGTCTAGACGTTACACGGGCAACGCCGGGCAGAACAACTAGCTAAAGGGGATTCTAGAGCCAGTTCTAGAGCTCTTCTCTGAGCGAGTGAACGACAACATACAAGACTACAACCAAGAAGTGTCATGCAAGGCGTCACTGTGCTGGGGGAGGAGGCATACGCGAGCCATCAAAGATGATCTGCTCGCGTACATGTCTGTGCGGTCTCGCAGTTTGGGCAGGATGCAGGCACAGGGATCGTGCTTGGAAGCTCGACAAGCAGAAAACTGAGGAGACTCTCTGAGGCGGTGCTATTCTCCAAAGGTCATACAGTTTAACGGTCTCCGACACTGGCTCCAAACTCTGGGGGAGGCAGAAAGACACTGGTGCATGCGACATTCATAGCTTTCATTACATGGGCATGGACCATTACAACTGAGTTATACACTGAGAGATCAGAACGGTTTCGCAAAGAATAGAAAACTGGCCAACATCATTGCAAACATCCCGAAGATCGACTTGGTTGTGCGGTTGGCCCTGCAACAACGTCAGGAGCTGAAGCTGCAGCTCGAGCACTCGCACTTGCGCAGCATCTCCTGGTACGTCCATTGCCCCGCATAGCGCGTGAGGCGGGAGGCCTGGAGGGGATGAGACAAGAGGGTAGGCAGAGAGAGAGAAGGACCTGCGGCCAGAAGATTCTCTTGCCCAGGAAGGGAATGGAGGACAAGAGTTCTCTAAACAACAAGTTGGCAAGCATGCAGGTCGCCTGCGGTCACGAGCAATCAATTGGCGCTCGTTGATGCAAATGTTTCCTACCGCTAGCTTGTCCACAAGTCCCGGCTGGTTGTACTGATAAGGACTGGAAGGCAGGATGAATGTTCGCTTGCTCAATGTCACTTTGTCCTTACCTTCCAATCTGCATCAAGCGGACTAGAGCCTTGCTCTCTGCGACTACCTGTGGTAGAGCATCGGTACGACACCGAGGGGAAAATTCCAACAGGCCGAAGCAGAAACGAAGAGAGAGGGAATGCGATGAAGGTGAAGACATTATAGAGGAACAAACGAAAGAGGAAGAAGGGGAGGGAAGGGGGGGGAAGGGGGAGGGGGAGGGGAGAGAAGGGAAGGAAAGGAGGAGGGTGATCGGATAGGGTGTCGAAGGAGACTCACATGACTCTCGTAGGAGCGAAGAGCTGAAACGAAGCTACCTGAAGTAAGAGGAGCTGTGTCTTCCAGCTTCTTCCCCAAGGAAAGTGCATCAGCAAGCGCACTGTTGACTCCCTGCAAGCATTCAGCTGCCAGCTGTCATTCCCACAAGCTGTCACCTGTCCCAAGTCGGGAGGAAACGAGTGTAGAGCATCCCCTGCATGCTTGTCAGGGAGGGAGATAGGAGCGGAGGAAGTTACCGAGCAAGACGACTCCTGCTCCGCTCTCACTGTCCTTGACGATGTAACTTGCCCCTGATCATCATCTCAATCAGGACGCAATTCCAAGTAATTGATGAGCTCCTGCCTCCTTGAGTCGTCTGAGGGAAGGGAAATCTCCCGCCCTGCAGCAGAAGGTGAGGGGGAGGCAAGGTCGGTAGCAACGAAGGACTTGCCTCGCTCTTTGCGAATCTCTCCAGCTCCTCCTCCTTCACTACATCCTTCCAGAGGACCTTGTCGTCCAGTCAGCAGAGACTACCAGCTCCTCGTCCTCACCTGCGGGAAGCAGTCCTCCAGGAAGCTCCTCATGCCGTCTAGCGTGAAGAGCTGAGAAACATCTCAGGCCCTGCTGGAGAAACTTCAAGGCTGACGTCACCTTGGGGTCATTCCAGATCTTATGATCTGGTTTTGTGATGACGTTGGCTGTCCTGCCCGAAGGTCAGCCTGCACCTCCCTTGGCTCACCAGCACCTGTATCCATCGATTCCTTTCCTGGGAAGAATCCCAAGACGAGTATCGAGCTGGAAACGTGTCATTCACTCCCCTTCCCCTTCTCCCCTCCCTCTTCTCCTCTCCTCTCCCTCCCTGCTCCTCCTCTCCCTCCCTGCTCCTCCTCTCCCTCCCTGCTCCTGCTTACCTTGGGGTCTTTGCCCGTGTACTTGGAAGTGAAGAAGTAAGTCTCCTCCGGCACCGCCACCACCCTCGGCTGATCGTCGACAGCCTCCTGCCAGCTGGATGAGCGGAGAGATGCTGAGGGGTCTCCATCACCGCCACTGGGAAGGAAGGCTCCAGCTTCAGCACCTGGAAGAGGATACAGTCATTCCAAGAAGCGACTCCCTCCCTTCTCACCTTGTATCTCAACCCTCCTGCTGGGGAGAACACCTCCTTCATCTGGAACCTCGACACCAGGTCACTTCCTCCCGCTGCCCCTCCAGCCTGCTCCTTCATGTCCCGCTGATACAGGTCTCAATAGGACGGGAGGTCAAACTCAAGGGGGTCAGAGCACCTCGACGAGCAGCTCTCTCACTCTCGACTTCAGCCCTTCAGCTGCTACGATCAAGTCGAAGTCCTCCAGCAGCTCCTCCTCACCCTGGAGGCAGTCAGAGCTGCGTGCTCCCCAGAAGGAGCGCTCCATACAGTGTCCAAGGAGAGAACCCTCGCAGTGAGATGTCCTCCATTGGGGGATGGAGTTGATAGAGCCTGGAAATCTACAAGCTCGCAACTTGTTCTCAAAGTTATGGAAGGCTGATCACTGATGTCAGGAACCAAGAGGAGACCAGGCATCTCACCCTCTGCATGACAGCATCTCCCAGCAACGAGTTGAACTCATGCCTCGTGATCCAGTACGGCACCCTAGAGAAATTTTCACACCTGTCGCCGTGAAACCAGTCGGAACTCACTGACTGCCTATGGTTGGAAAGAAGTTGAACTTCACTTTAGTGATTTTGCCACTCGTGTCGACTCTGTTTCCATTGAGAACGGATCTGACGGAGCCAGGACGATCAGAAGGCAACCCTAAAACTTGAGCATTCAAACAAACCCATCTACTCCGTTCTCAGCCAACCTCGGAGTTAGTCCGTGTCTGGAAAGCACTTTAGCTAATGAGTAGCCGGCTCTTCTCTTCGCACCTGTCAGTGAACAACAATCCCTTCCCAGAGATGAGATACATGAATCCCTTGTTGGGATCGTAAGCACTGATGGATCCCGCTCGTTCCAACACAGTAATCTTGTGCTGTTTCACCTGGAGCAGAACCGTTCGATTCAAGTTCTCTCGTCTCACCAAGAAAATCACTCACCTGTGGCATCTCACTGAACACTTTATCCAGCTCAAGAGCTGCACCCAGACCCCCGGGTCCTGCTCCGACAACAAGGACATTCATTCGCTCCTTCACCAGCGTCTCTGCCGAAAGAAATTATGACCCACAGGCTATCCCCCACCTCCTAACCTTTTCCTGAGGAAACATCTTTCATCGCAGCCAATCGCAACGGAACAGCTTTCAGACGGGCTGCTGACGGATTTGGAAGGCATCGATGTGCGCTGCTGCGATGTCTGGCCACAAAGGGAAGGGAAACGAACTTGAAGGCAAGCAGACCGTCAAGCGCCAGCAGGAACAAGGGCAAACCTCTTATTCCCTGTGAACAAACACTCAGACGAGTTTCGAATCGCATTCACCAAGAGTGGAGCATGCTTCAGCACCCCAAGCTTCCCTCCTTCTCCTCCTCCTCTTCACGTCACAACCCCCTACACGCCTTCGTACCATTCCTTGTATGTGTCACTTGCCACATCCCCATACAGACCCATCAAACCGTTTCAAGAACAGTTTCAAGAACAGTTTCAAGAAGAACCTTGGTGAAAATCATGAAGAAATGCTACAAAATTTCAAAAAATGATAATACATATTTCAGAGTTTCTCCAAAGCGAACACTTTGTAGACAGAAAAAGTCATGCACGTCAACTGCTGAGGACGGTTACACACATACCGCAATGCGCGACGGAGGCTGAGGGAAGGGAGGGAAGGGGAGGAAGGAGGAGGGAGGGAAGGGGAGACAGGCAGAGAGAGGGGGGGGGAGGAGAACTGCGGCCGGGACTCGGGGATGCAATGCCGGCCCGAGACTCAGAGCCGAAGTTGGGATTGAAAAGGAAGGGGGAGCCGGCAGCGGGCAGAGGGGGGAAGATAGACGGCGAGAGGAAGTAAAATGCGAAGAAGCGAGAAACTTAGGAGGGGAGTAAACGATTCATGAATGTAGTGGGACCGGGGGATGTGAGAGCTGGGTCAATGATGAAGGTGGAAGGTCGAGAAAGGCGGAATGGAGTCAGGCGACATTGTCAGGAGGTGTGACCGTCAGTGAGAGATGTTAGGAGCGAGAAGAGAGGACGAGGGTTGTTTTTGTCTCCAAATGTCGGACCCACGAAGTTTTCGCAGCAGGGGCTGGCTGGTGACTGAAGTTTGATGGTAGATGTCAATGCTCGGTACCCCAGACGGGACAAGGAATCTTGACACTCTGAAGCTGAAGACGAGGACGAACAGTTGTGTGGCATTGATGCGAACACAGGTAATCCAAAGCAGATTCGTCCTATCCTTTCACTCTCCTCTTGATATATCATGACCTCTCCTTCACTTCTCCTTCTCGACCACTTCTCTTCCTCCCATCCAGCGACATAACTACAATCTGATCCATGGTGCAAGGCTGGGATCTTTGCAACCATGCATCCTCACCGAAGGTCGGCCATGAACGTACAGAGAGAGATGTCTATGTCTGATGTTGGGCATTGGCAGGAGCGGCTACAAGCAAGCCAACAGCGAGTCAAACCTGAGGGAACTGGGAAGTATGACTTCGTACAAACAGTTCTACGAAAAGGGAGTGGAGATTCCTTACATGCAAAAGTCCAACATGTCTGTCAACTACAAGCAGAAACTGCACAAGTATGATCCCAACGCGCTCTGCAACCGTCTCCCAGTCAAGTTCGACAACGAGGTCAGGCGTGGGAAAGTGTGTATGGAGCGCGTGTGTAACCCCAACTCTTGACCAGCCGGTCCCCTTCGTCCGGTATTGTGCTCCAAGAAACATCTCGCAATACGAGTTGGGGCCAAAGCTCTATGAGGTGACCTGTCAAATGCTTTCATTTCGAGCTAGCTGTGACATGAAGCTGTCAGAGGAGATTTTTGACGCACAGCCAAGCTTTCTATCCCAAGTGGGATTCTTTGCCGATTGGATTTCAGAACGCCGGAATTATGGGTGACAGACGGCGATTTTGGTTGTTGCTTGGACTGATAGGCTTTCACAGGTGAATTTGCAAGTCGAATTCACGTGAGTCAAAATCGATAAAAACTGAGTCTACACGGACCGTGGACGCCAACGATCCTGTATGCGTTATCAGTGTTAACTGGCAGAAACCCAGCTCGAGATTTTACAAATTTCTCAACTATCAGATTATCTTTCTTTCAATCTAGGGACGACCCGCATGATAAATAGCCTCGAAATATTCCTTGCACGCGTGGCTTTTGAGGACGATGTCGCCATACTGAAGCTGCACATCCATTTGCGCATTCAACACATCAGCAAACATGTTTGAGAAAGGGGGCACAATCCTCAAGAACGGAACACTTTGCACTTGTCTTGGTTCGCTCTCCAGCTCCGTGGAGCTGTGAAATACACGTTCCTTGAGTTGAGTGCCCAACGTCTGAAAGCATTTCTCCTCCACTGTGATCAAGGTTTCTGCAAACACATCGCTCTCAAGGATCTCCTCGAAATCTCCGGCCAAATTTTCCAGCTGCTTGCTGAGTCCATTCTCCATTCGTACGCCCATCATAATCTCTTCAGCTGAGTTCGCCGCGTCATCAGGATTCAAACACTCCGCTACGTAGGAGTTGGACAGATCTCGCAAGAGCATGATGATCCAATCGTTCTCATCAGTTTCTGTCTCTCTTCTCACAAATTTCAACATCTCCTCCACTTTCTCTTCGTCGTACATCTCTCCATGGTTGACCCGATCATAATACAGCGTCACTCCGCGCTCAACCTTCTCCACCACACTCTGCAGGAAATTTACTTGCCCGCATGCTATTGCAAAGTACTTCATCATGGATAAATATTTCCTCTGAACCAATTCATGTGGAGCTTTTCCCATTCTCTTCAACCTCAGCAACTGAAACACTTGCGTGTAGATCACCAACTGAACGATCGCTGTCACGTAGAGTGCAGAGAGTGTCCTGGTGATGCTTGCAATCGCAAGCTCCTTGTACACGGACAACCTTGTTTGAAGGTCATCTCTGGCTACTTCCTTCACCATGTTCTGCTTTGCCTGCACATCGATCAGCGTCGAGAGCTCTCTCTTAATTTCCTTCAAGGCCGCCTGCGGAAATAAAATTCAGCGCACGAGGACGGAGGAAGAGATGGCAGGGGATGAGGAATAACTTGGTATGCACACACAACATCTATGAACTGACAATACAGGGCAGGAGGGCATGTACACATCATGTCGCTGGAGTCCACTCTTACCATGACGAGCCGCTTCCCGTCGCCGCTCGCCAACATACTTTCGACTTCATCGCTGATCCTCTCCTTCATCTTGGAAGCCATGACTATCATTCTCTTCACCGGGAAATGCCTCATCGCTCGCCAGATCAAGAACGTCGCCATCGCTGCCGCCCCCACCATCATCACCCGCCACCGGCCCCATCGCCACCGCAAGGGCCCCGACATGGCGCCCGTTCCACGAAAAACATACGTAACGTGATACAACGGTCTGACAACGACTGCAACGACAATGCTACTGCAGCATGCGGGCACCATAACGTGAAGGGAAGGGATGAGGAGGAGGGGAGGGAGGGAGGCAGGCGACGGGATGATGCTGCACTGAGAGAGTCTGAGTGAGGGCTGACCATGCTGGACGACTTGTCCGGTTGAAGCAGAAGGAGGTGGGGAAGGGAAGGGAGGAGTGCAGCAGAAGGCAATGATGGTAACAGGAAGAGGATATGTGGATGGAGGGACAAGGCAGGGGGCAGGGGAGGAGGGTGGACTGCAAGGGATTCCCGTCTCTGTCTCTTGCCATGGGTGACTTGAAGGTCGAGGACTTGAGCGTGAGAAGAGAAATTGATGTTCTGACATCCCTGCTGAAAGCACTAAGTTGGTGAATGGACTTCTGCTTCAACTCAATGCTTTCCTTGTAGATCCGAGCTTTCCCTCGGAGGCCATGACGTGTCAATGGAAGTTCTGCCGTCAAGTGCTGGAGAAGTTCTCCTGATCCGTTGTGCCCATGAACGAGAAGATCGAGGTGAACAGCTCGATGAACCTTGCTGAGGTGTCGGGCAGACCTTCTTCCGAGCCGGAGACGGACAAGGCGATTCCTCCCAGGTTCGTATGCCCATGGCCTTCACTCGGGAAGTGGTGCTTGTCGTTTCTCTGGCCCATATTTGATGTTGCTGTGATAATCGCCATCGTCGTGACGTTCTGGCCTCGTCCTCTGATCCCTTCCGATCCAAAGTCGCAAAGAGCCGCCCAGGTGCGCCCATTCCATGCATGGCCATCGGCAATGAACGATCGAACCAGGAATACTCTGTCCTATTCATCTGGCTGCCTCTTGTTTTCCGGATATGCTGGGGGCCCCTGCATTGGTTGTTGTCCTTGGTCCTGATGCCTGGATCGATTTTGTTCAGCGAGAGTCCCTTGCGAAGTCTGATACCCTCCAAGGACCTCCGAGAGCTGATCTTGAGGAATTCAGAGACGAGAGAGGTTGTCTCCAGCTCTCTCTGACCACCCCACTGACCTGACTTGCTGCTCAGAGTCGGCGAGAACTTTTCGTGCACATCGGAGGGGTAGAAGTCACCATGTGCACTCCAGATGGAGTCAATCTTTATGGAATGTACTTTGCGGGTTTCGGTGCTGGTGCGCATGACGCGACGATCATTCGCATGAACGGCAACGCTGAGTCGTTTCAGATGCAGGTGTCTCCCTCCCCTCCTCCCCTCCTCTTCCCCGCCTCCTCCCCTCCTCCCCTCTTCGTCCTTGTTTGACTTGTGAGCGCAGGACACTCAGCTTCCGTTGATGTATGCCAACTCAGGGTTCAACATCGTCTTGTTCGACTACCGGGGCGTCGGGCGATCGTGCTGGCGTCCATGTTTCGGCTTCAAATCTCTCGGTCAATTGCTGGGAGTCTGGTCAGTGAGAGACGGCGGCGGTCAGGGGCTCCTGGTTCTGACCGAGAGGTACAGGCGAACGAGGAAGATTGAGGGGAACATGTTGGATGCCTGGACTGTCTACCAGGTAATCGTCCATCCGTTGACACGAGCTGACGCGCGTCCTTGCAGTTTGTCACGAAGGAGCTGGGAGTTCCTCAAGAAAAGGTTGTGATCGTGGGTCACTCGATGGGTGGAGCTATCTCTACCAAGATGTGCGCCAAATATCAGCTGCCATGTGCTCTGTGCAACTCAAGGTAAGCTTGTCCTTCTTGCTGTGAGGGAGTGAAGGCCGAGAATGAACAGGTCGTTCGCTTCACTCCGTGACATTGCCTCCAACCTTGCCCCCTCCTTCTGTAACTCACCTCCGAACACGATGAAGGGAAAGATTGTGAAGCATCTAGCATACAGTATTTTACGTGTGCCGGTTTTTCTCAACGTGTGACGGTGGTCTGGTCAGTGTTGCTCTGCGCTTCTGGCTGGGAGTACGACTCCCTCGTCAATTGGAAGAAGGTGAAAGGAAGGAAGTGGATAGAGTATTGGTAAGTTCGAAGCCCCGCTACATGATCTGACGTTAACTGCAGCCCGCTGGACCCTGTCATCCCGTACCCATGTTCTTTGAAGCACGCGATCGAGAAGGAGGATCGAGATCGCGATGGTGCGGCGTCTGCATGACCTTGCCAACCTCCCAGTCACTCTCACTTTCAGCCGGGTTCACCGAGCTGGATGACATCAGGCTCGATGACATCAGGCTGTCCATCACTGTGGAGAGGGTGGGAGGGCACAAGGTGTTGAGGTTGCCTCCCTTGTTAGATTACGACAATCACAACCGGTGACCAGGAGACGACGCGTAGAGCTACTTGCTCAGTAACTCTGCGAATTTCCAGGTTGCTCACCATGGAAGAGCTCGTGTATCACCTTGAGATTATGCGAGAAGAGTTGAATGCGCGATAGGAGGAGCCCGTTGACTTCAAGACGATTCTGATTCATGTTTATTCTTCCCCCCTTTATTGTTTCACGTACAATCTTTTTAGTTTCGCTCAATACATCTTCTACAACCCCCTTCTAAATTCAAATATCTCGATCAGAAATTCCGTGTCTTCACTTCTTGGCAGCCGTGTTCGCCTGCTGCTTGAATTTCTTCTCAAGTCTGTCCATATCACGTCAGGCAGGCACAGAGCAAGTCAACATCGAGATATCCTACCGAGACTTTGCCGCTTCCTTTCCGTTCGCCACCTTAATCTTCTCTAGTACGTCTTTCGGTCCCTCGTTCACCTCTGCCTTGGCCTTCCCAGCCGTCAACGAACCTTTGGCTTCCTTCCTTGCGGAGAGAGGATTCTCATGCTCAGCAGTAGAGATCTCGTTCTCAAAGAAGCTGTTCATCTCCTCCTGCACAGTCCATCAGTCAGCTTCAGTTCACGTTACACGTCAAGGGTTTGACCCTTGCAGCGTCGGACGACAGGTGGACGTTGATGCTGTCCTGCACCGCAAACTTCGACTTCCCCCTGAGTTTTGAGAAGAACTTCTTCTCTTGCATCCGAGCTGCCGCATCCGACATCTGCTTGCAGTCAACCCGTCGGCGCAGTGCAAGGACGAGGCTCCCGTACCTTGGACTTTCCGTCCTTGCCAGCCGTCACGTGCTGGATGAGATCGTCGTAGAACCCATCGATGTCTGATCGAGCAGTGGAAGACGAGAACTTGTTCCTGCTCATGTCGTGCGAGGCAGAGACTTCACTGTTCTTGGAGGTCTTCGACTCCACCTTCAGATCCTTTCTGTCCTCGCCACCTGCCTTCTTAGCAGCATCGTGTTGGATCATCTTCAGCTCAGATTTTGTCTTCAAGACTGTCTCGTGAAGAATGGCGTCTCTCGTGTTCTTCCTCCTGGCCTCCAACTCCTTCACAGCCGCATGGTTGTCCAGGTTGTCATAGAAACTGTCCATGTCCGCCTTCTCCTTGTCCACCGACCAGCCTCGATCTTTCGCAAAGGGAGTTTTCGTGCTCCTGCTTGGATGGGATACTATTCGCTGTTGCAACTCGGCTGAAACCTTGTGAGCAAGCGTCAGCCCAGCAGGTCTCGCTCTTCGTTTCCCAGCAAGCGCCGAAGCCTTTTCTTCAATCCTCTTGGCATTCTCGATAATGGTGTCGGTAATGGAGGCGTGCGGGCGCTTCTTTTCGGCATGGTTTGCGGCATGACTGTAGCTGAGCGCACTGTTAATGGATGCTACTGTTCGCTTCTCCTTCTCTAATTCCTTTTGTGCTCTCTGAAGAATATCAGCACCGCTGCTGATTGTCAAATTCCAACCATGCAAGCAACGGAGTGCTTCACCTTTGCAAAAGTTCGACGTTCTCGTTGGAAACAAGCTTCCCCGGGTCATTCTTCAGATTGTGAGAACGAGCTCTCCCCCTGATCTCCTGTAGTTGGGCAGCAACACGTCAAATGCAGGTGAGGCGGCAGGGTGACTTACGGATGGAAGGACAACAAGGAGGGAGCAGACAAGCAACGAGATCCCTCCAACGACCCATCTCCACCTCCTTGTTCTTCTTGTCACTTCCTCCATCCCGCTCTCTCCATGGCAGCAGCGCTGCTGCAGCTGCTCTTCTTCCTCCCCGTTGTAGCGGCGCATTCTGTCTACCATTCCATGCCCAGGTCCCTTCACACCTCTCAGACCACCCTGGACAGTAAGTACCCTACCTCATATTTAGTATTTAAAATTCGTGTTGACAGTACCGGTACACGTATGACCGTACCCATCCATTTAATTTCAATCTATTTCCGGCAGGGTGGCGCCAATGGTGAAACCAAATTGAGGACGGCGAAGGGGGATAGCATGAAGCATCAGAGCATGCGAGCAGAATGCTGGAGAAAATTCACTGGAATGTAAAAGGAGGAAGGAAGGCAGGAGGAAGGAAGGCAGGAGGCAGGAGGAAGAGGAGGAAGAGGAGGAAGGAGGGAAACAAGGGGGCAGTGAAGGCGCAATGGGTGGCGATTTGTTTTGAACAGATTGGTAGCATAGATTTTGAATGAGCATCTGCCTGACTTTGAGTTTGATTTCGTTTTTGATAGAGATCTGTTTGACTCTTCTACAGGAACTCTTGAACAAGAACTCAGTTGACTCCATCAGGTTTGAGTTCAGTCCCAACGATGCGCAGAGCATTGGAAGGCCTGGCATGCTTTCTTATCGCTCTTGCCATGCTCTTGGGGACTACTGTGTACAGGGTGCGTCAAAAGTCTCAGGCTGTGCTGCTTCAGTCCAGCCAGAAGAGCTCATGGGCGGTGGACCCGAAGCATAAGGCGAGAACTAGACTGGCCTTGAAGAAGCTGGAGAGGAACCTCGAGGGAGAGTTGTCGAGTGTGAAAACGATCTTGAGCCGGTTAGACTCAAGCCGAGGACAAACGTCCAACACCATGTCGCTCAGCGAGAAGAAAGCTTCAAAGCACGCCCCTCAGGAAACGAGCAAGGGCAAGACCGAAGAGCAGGACATCATGGTCCCGGATGCTGCATGGAGGAAACGGACGATGCAACAGGGAGCTCTGCGTGGAGACACTGTCAAGAAGCAGCTCAAGAGAGTGCTGGAGAAAGATTTGCTAGACAAGATCGAGAAGAACACGTAACACCGCCTGATTTCAGGATGTTTCGTTGTTACTGATGGTCTCTACAACAGCTCCTGGAAAAGCATGCAAGAGATCGAAAACGCGATCAAGTTTGCAGACTATCTCAAGGCGCACCCGTAAGGCCCCAAGCTCCTCGTGGAGTCTCGCTGATATTCGTTTGGGCAGGTTGTCTTCCCCTCCCCGTGTGAAACGAAGCACGCTCGACACAGCCACAGCAGCAGAGCCAACGGGAGGAGAGGGAGGGAGTTCGGGTTCTGACTCGGTGATCAAAGTGCACTTCAAGCGGGAGGAGCACTCGATCTCAGAGGCAGACTACAAGCAGCTGGAAGAAGATCTTATCCGGCTGTACATCGACCTCAATAAGGACAAGAGTGCGGGGGCAGCGAACGAGGGAGTGCAGGTAGGCTCAGCAGCGAAAGCAGGGGGTGCGGGTATCAAGCAGCTTTCACAGCAGTTTGTTGGAGGAGCCCAGGGAACTCAGTATGTCGTGCAGCCAGGGGATCGTGCGATCGCCTTGTCGGACGAGTACGGCAGGAAATGGGCTGCAGATGAAATTCTGCGGGAGCATGGGAACTTTGTTCACCTGCCGAGGAAAGACGAGCTACCTCTAGCAGTTAAGCCATACTGGTACAGCAGTTTGCGAAAGTAGATATTCTTTAGCTTGAGGTCGATGCGAGTATTTTTGATTTTTCTCCAATGTTTCAACACTTTTCTTCTATTTCCTTCTGATTGATTTCGCCGGCTCCCGACGTTTCCTCCTCTTCACCAGCTCGCGTGAAATCGCTGCTTTCCTTCGCAGTTTCTTCCTTCGCTCCGTCCGCCTGTTTCCCTTGTGCTGCTTCTTGACAGGCTGCAACCCGCTCCTTCGTTCGCCTGCTTGTGCATCGTCTGCGTTCCTTTGAAGGACTTCATCACGAAACGCGTCATGCACCGAAGGATGGGTTCCCTCCCGAGTGATCTCTCTGACTGCCATGGTTGCGAAGGAGTTTGGGGGGAGCGAGAAGCTGAGGATAAGCCCCTTGAAGGGCAGCTGCTGCTCTTGTGCTCTCTTCGACTTGCTCTTACCTTGTCCTGACCCTCCCTGCGTCGAATTGAGATGCGAGTCCAGCATCTCGTCGTACAGAACATCAGCTGGCGATCGATACGTCACGACCTTCATGCTCAGATTCGAGCAGTTCATGATGAGGAAACGCATCGGGCATACAGAGTCGTCCAGCGGGAAAGGAGCTTTGGATGCTTCGAGGTCTACCTCCTCAAATGAAAGCCCGTCAGCCTGCAGCGAAGCACGCGCCGACGACCCGACGGCATTCTTAGGGAACAGAAGTTTCTTGTTGCGCGCGAAGACAGGGAGAACGACCTGTGCGATGGAGTATCGCCCAGCTGCGACATCCTCTTCCTTCACAACGTCGACGAAAGTCTTGTCGTAGCGTTTCACCTGCAGGCAGTGAGATCTCAAGCAAGCGGCACGGGTATTCACCGCCACGAGGTCACCAACAACCGCCTTCCTCCTGTCATACTCCATGAGCCGTTTGGTCGCCATTCGATTCCAAACGAGCGAAGTGTACGCCTGCCTCCACAGGTCTGCGCGCGCCAGCTTTGAGAACGCCTGCCTCAGCGACTCGTTGACGTTCCTCGAGGTCGCAAACGCCTCCTGTCAGGGGGCTCAGCAGAGCCTCGAAGGAGCCGACGAGCGATACCAAAATGCAACGTTCGTCTTCACAGGTGAAGGGAAGGACATCCTCCAGCAGACGTCAGCTTCCTCCCCTCCTCCTTTCCTCCTCCTCATACCAATGCTGCACTCGCGTTTCCCTGCTCAACGAAGATCTGACGTGCCTTGGCTTCCCCAGCTGAATGGCAGCGCCGTATGTATTTGGTGCTCATCACCTCCTCTCCAGCTTCTCTCCACCTCTTCCCCAGCAGCAGCCTGCCAACTTCGGTGCTGGGGACTGGGCCGGTCCCGAACCTGAGGGTCGTCAACAGACGTGCACGTGCTTCCCGGCAGTATCACCTCTGATGTCCGAAGTAGTTGACAAACCCGAAGCGCCGAAGCCTCTTTACGGCATCGAAGACTCGAGAGTTGCTGACCGTGATGTTCCTCAGGAGGATGGTGAACCGGTTCCCGCTGCACCTTCTAAGTCAGTAGGTCGACGCACCCGGAGGCTCCGCACAGCACCTGTGCTCTCCGTATCGCAGCATCCGATCGACCAGCTCGACTGCAGTCGATAAGCAACAACAAGCGCAGCAGAAAGAAACCACCATCAGCTATCTTGATGCCCTCGAGCTGCTTGTTCAGCCCCATCAGGGCTGTCAAGTCGGACGAGGCCTGCTGGCTGTTGATTGTCACCTGCACTTCCATCAGGACTGGCGACTCCCTCAGGGCAGACCTTCTGGCACGTCAGCGCCCCCTTGTCCTTGAGGCCGCAGCAACCCGACGTTGCTTTCGACAAGCGAATGTTGAGCTTCCGCGCGATCATGGAGACCGCGCTCATTGTGTCCCAGCCAGTCTTCACCAGAGAGAACTGAACGATCTTCCTCCTCCCCCCCTGGCTCTGCCCTGAGACGTTGACACTTTCAAAGTCCCTGGGCCATACGATTGATCCCCAGGCGTCTAACTCACTGACCCAGAAGTCAGACCACATGCCTTTAAGCAGGCCGCCTGTCCCAGCATGGCCCGCGGCAGTCCAAGTCTTGTTGCTGGGCACCTTGAGCTCAGATGGGCAGGAGAACACAACTATCCCGACGTCTTCATCGTCAAACTTTCCATCCTGTGCCTGCTCTGACGAGCTGACCCGCTGCCCCGGCGAGCTGCTCGAGGGAGGAGAACTTTTCAACCTCTTGCATGCTGACACAAGTAAGCTCTTGACATGATCGACCTCCATCACGCTCTGCTTGCGAACTTCAGATTTCCGTAAACGAGCGGTCGAGGAGGAACGTCCGGAGGAGAGCAACGATATCAAACATGCAACGAGTGCGCATCGAGCATATTGAGAAGACATCACGTAGTGGCTATGATGATGCTGGTAGTTAAAACAAGCACTCCTGTCTCCATGTGAAACCCGACAACTTCTTCATTCCCAAACCTTGTAAGTTACGACAACAAACACATTCTAGCGACTGTTGCGTTCCACTCGAAATGTTCACACTTGAACCAAGAAATTTATTTTGTGGGGCTGCCACCCCAGAAAATACGATCTCTTTCTTTCTTGATTTCTTGCTGTCTTGCTTTCAGGCAGTCCTGAGCAGCACACACAACTTTCAGTCGCACGGGTAAGATAGGGTTGGCACATGCGGCCTGACCTTGTACGCCTGTATCTCTTTCGAGCAATCTTTCTTCTCGGGGTAGGAGCTGGTCTGGCACTTCAAAGAGGCTTCCTGCAGGAACTTCACGGGGGGACGAAGGGTAATTAGGACTCACCCTCAGCGACTCTAGGTCACAGACCAATGTCCATGGTTTCACTGGTTTCGCCTGTTCCTTCTCAATCTTCTCCTGTGTCAGCCTCTTTCCTCCCTTCGACGACGGTGGAATGTCGGTCGACATCACCTACTTAACGTCTTAATTGCCGTGCGACTCAGTAAGAGCTTTCCTCTGCCCTCCTTTGCCTATCTCCTCTTCTCCTCTCCTATCCTCTCCTCCTCCTCCCTCTCCTCCTCTCCTCCCTCCCTTCCCCAAACCCTCCACCTCTCCATCTCTCCCCTTCTCTTCCCCCTCATCAATCCTCTTCCTAACTTCGCTCTTCCCTCGGCCCCCCCGTTCCCCTCCCCTTCCTCTACTCCTCTCCATTCCTCAGCATCTGGCAAGTCTTTGACATCGGTGGGTCCAAACTGGGGTGGGGTATGAAAGTACCGGTAGTCTTCAATTATACATTAAGGTAAAGGTGGGGGGTGATAGTTGTTATGACCCCTCAATGAACACGTAGACGAAAAATCAGCGATCAGTCCCTTGGTTCTTACTCCGCATCGTTCTCATCCCCTCCCCCTCCCCGCCCCTCCCACTACCATCTGCCTAGCACTACCTCTCTCCCTCCACCTCCCTTCCTCTCCCTCTCTCCCTCCACCTTCCTTCCTCTCCCTCTCTCCCTCCACATTCCATCCTCTCCCTCTCTCCCTCCACCTTCCTTCCTCTCCCTCTCTCCCTCTACCTTCCATCCTCTCCCTCTCTTCCTCCACCTTCCTTCTTCTCTCTTCCCTCTCTCCCTTCTTCTGCCCCTCTCCTCTTCCCTCTTCGCATCCCCCGATTTACTTCTTCTCTCCTCCCTCTTCTGCACTCTCGTCTTCTTCGTCCCCTGTTCCTGTTCCACGACGACTTGTAACATCATGGACGAGCAAGAAATCAAGCATATGATACACGAGAGGTTCGAGCAACAGATTCTCGATGAGCTGAGACGAGCTGAGGGCACGAAGAGCAGAGGTTCGAGGGGGGAGGAGGTAGTCTCAGCTGTCGTCAATAGCATCGCACATGACGGGAGGTTCCAGTCTTTCCTGCTAGACTTGACAGAATCGCATGGGAAAAAGAGAGGAGCTTCCCCAGGAGCTGCCGCGGGGACTTTAGTCTGGACGTTTGACTCGGACGATGGAAGCATGGGGAAGGAGGGCCTGGAGGGAGACGATGGATTAAGCTACAGCGGAAGCAGGTCGACGGTGGAGGAGATCAACGTAGAGGAGAGGAGCAGGATGATGGAAGACTTCGGGGTTGACTCCGAGCTCGCTAGCATCTGTACGCAGCTTGCTCCTACGTCGACTGAAGGTGATGGTTCATGATGGATAGGCATAGCTGACGTCTTGCTGTGCTGGTAGGGACGCAGCGAGAAAGTCTCGAGGCTCTGATGAACATGCCGCCCGAGGAAGTGCTAGCAGATGCTAACATCAAGTCGCTCTTCCAGCTGCTCTCGGGTGTTTTCCTCAACAGGAACCTGAGCAGGGAGACCAACAGAGTCTTCTGCAGTCTCTTTGCTGCCTCTGTTGGTGGGTTTCACAGCGCCGATTTGATTTGTGCGTGGATGCGAGGAATGTTGGGGCACATGTCATCCGTTAATGTCTGCGTGTGTCAGGCGCAGGAGAAACACCTGATGGATCAGATCGAGAGTTTTTCCTTGCTGTCAAGCTTCTTCGATGGCATTGCTTCTGCTTGGAACACTCTCTCTGAAGAGCAGATGAACGAAATCTTTGAGTGTCTTTGCAGTTTGTACAACTTGCAAATGAATACCTGTGAGAAATGTTTGCAAGGTGTTCACTCTCCCAGCAATCAGTGCTTTCCTTCCATGTTCCTCTTTGTGCTGGCTGACTCCTCGTTGAGTTGGATGGAAGTTTTGTTCTCAAGGTCCAGTGCTCGACACGCATTTCTTGTACAAGCTTTGAAAGCATCAGTTCTATCCAAGGTCGCGGACTTCCTTTCCTCAGCTGGGGAGCTGGTCGAGTTGGAAGAGGAGCAAGAGAAGGAGGGTATCTTGTCTAGTTACGATCTCTTCGTCTTCACAACCTACCACAACGTCAACATGTTAGCTCTGCTCACAAGGTATCAGGAGACATGCTGCATGTTCAACAACGAAGAGGCCCGGGCTGATTGGATTCAACTTCACGACTCAAACGCCGAGCTGCCACGAGTTGAAAACCTCCGACCGTTCGCCTGTGATGCGTGCAAGCTGTTCGGCTGCTTGCTTACCTCTCGCAGTCAAACTGCGAGCCTGGTCAACGTTCGTCAAGACCTGCTGAGAGGGTTGGGAGAAGTTGTCGGGTCTTCGATCCGAAGCTTCTGTGGGATGGAACGAGAGGGACGTTCTGCATCAGCCGAGTCGATTGCGACTCGATTCATCCAAGTGACCCTCAGGGTCTGCAAGATGCTCAGAGACCTTCTGGAGTCGATCGATACCACGAGACCATCCAAGAGGACCTGTGAACAAGTCTTGTGGATCGCTGAAGTGTGTATGCGAGTTGTTGAGAATGCTGAGAAGGATTTTCCCGATCTCCTATTCTATGCTCGTCTGAATGGTGAGAGGGAGGAGGGAGATGGAGACAAGCAGCTCATAGAGTGGATGAGAGCGAAGTTGTCAAAGTCAACTTGGTATGCCGGTCTTGCCGGATCGAAATCTTTCGGAGAAATGTCGGAAGAGATGAATACGTTGTCGCAAGTGGTGGCTGAGAGGGTTTTCGAAATATCACCAACCGAGCAGAGTGAAAGATTGTTCTCTGTTCTCACTTTCTTCCTTTCCCCTGGTCGGTCAAGGTACTCAATTCATCTCCTCTCCTCTCGTGCTCGCAGTCATCATTGAAGTTTCCTTGCCAGACTTCATTTATACGCTTCCACCAAATTCAAACATTGGACAAAGGTAATGAAGCTTCTGGCGACGTGGTCTAGTACATGTATGTTCTCGACTGAATTGAGTTGTATTGTGACGCGCTATATCTACCAGTCGCAGCAAGCAAAGCTGGAATTCCAAAACAGCTGCTGCAGAGACTTTCCAGGGCAGAACCTTCGTTCGTATCGTTACTTGAGGTGCTCATCGTGTGATGAGTTTTTCAGGCAAGTTGAGAAATCTTTGCAGGGGAATGGATGGGAGGATTTGCTTGACAGAGCTCGACTAGAATGCATCTCAGACCTTTTCACGAGAATGGAGAACAGGGCTGATTTTCTCGCTGCTGATTCTCACACCACAGACATCAACACTTCTTGGAACCTCGTTATGGACCTGGCTTCCCCTCAACATAATGCAAATGACTGCGCCCTGCTGTGGGACAAGCTGCTTGCGGCAGTTGTAAACTACCTGGAGGACATAGATAGCAAGGGAAATGACAGCATCCGGCTCTCGTTCATGTGGGCGTTCAAAAGGTCCTTTCTTACACGCCTCGGACCCTCTAGCTGAAGGATATTGCCTTGACAGGTTGTGCTGGCTAACCGCCAGCCCTCTAGTGCACAGAGTGTGTAAGGACAGCAAACTTTTGAAGCAGTGGATTGAGATCAACATCGACGTCGACGGGGAATCGAAAGAAGAGCATCCCCTTTTGAGGAGGAACCCAGAGCAAGAAACACTCCTCCTGATCCTCTTGCGTTTCATCTCCCACAACATTTCTCTATGGATCGAGATCCTGACTGAAATCCCAAACTTGAGGTGTTTTTGATCGCTCCTGCGTGCAGCAGGAAATGACTTCTTGATTCACGTCAGGCTGTACGTCCTTGGGAGGTATCGGGTTGAGGCCGCAGGTGACAAGCTGGCCCCTGCTAGAGGGCATGAGCCGAAGGATTTTGTTCATGAGCTTCAGCAAGCCTTCGATCCCATGTACGGGGAGGACATGACACAGGCGTCTGGGAGTCTCGTGATTGACAGAGAGGCGCTGCTTTGCGATGACATCATCACCAGCGGAACTTTCTTCTCCATCGGCCTTGCAGGATCAATCGAGGAGGGACAGCAGGACGTCCTCCGCCTCCCAGCCACGCTGAGATGTATCATTGAGAAGGAGGGCAAAGTCATCAGCTCCAAAGCAGCTCAGATGAAACCCCCGTACGATCTAGACAGCCTGATTCATTTTCCCACTCAGGATGGTTTCATACAGGCCTGCCATGGTTTCCTTGCTAGCATTCCAGCAGCAGCAATGGGGACGAGCTCCTTGAGCAGCAGTGGTGCGGAGGAGAGTGAGGAATGGGCGTTGAAGCACGGGGAGATGACTTCGTCGCTGTTTTGGACGTTGGCGCTCAAGGCTTGCTCCGATAGCCTCTGTCATGTTGAGAAGGCGCAAGAAGACTTCCAAGGAGAGCTGAGATATCTCTTGACAGGACAGGTGGGGCGGGGGCAGACGTGTGCGATCTTCACTTCCTTGCTGTACGTCCTCAACGAGTGCTGCATAGACGACGCGATGAAGAGCATGTCATGCGCCCTGTCACGGTTGTGCCTCGGCCTGTCGCTCTCTCCTGCGGCAGGTTGCGATAGGTTGTCAAAGTTTGCTGAGGTGAGAGTCTCGTCGGTCTCTCGCGTTTGCGTGACGTGTCGTTTGCTCAGCTTGTAGCTGAAGAAGAGCTCAAGGACGTTGCAAGGGGCTATAGAGAGCTCGGCGTTTCCATAGGGATGGTGGCAAGCTGTTGGATATCACAAGCCTTTCTCAACACCTTCGAGTGGCAAGAGGTCTTCGTCTGGCTGCTCCTTCCGGTCAGAAACCTGAAAGAGTTTGGCACAGGCCGCCAAGACTTTGGCGCTGGCCCTCGTCGAGGGTGCAGAGTTGTTGTCATACACCTGTGTAGTGGCTGTGAAGGTGATGGAGGTACGTGTGTTGGTTGTGCTTCCTCTCTCTGATTGGATACTAGGCACATACAAGACGACACTATTGCGACGATGAATATGAATTCTTGGAGTTGGGGAAACAATCGCTTCCAGACTTCAGGCTGTCGCAATGGATTGCTGAAATCAGAGGTCTGGCGGAAAGATACGAGCCTTTATGCAAATCGTTCTTATACAAACAATGAAAGACAATCTTGCATGAAGAGCTCCTCTTAAACCTCTCGTCTATCCAACCGCAACATCAAAAACCATTTCATTTCTTTTTACAAAACTTCCAAGTCAGAAACCAGAGTGAGACGAGGAGATCCCGGCAGTCGCCTTGTGTCTGTTGTACAACCAGAGCGCCAGCAGGGGCCCAACCACCATGACGACCAGGCAAACGCGCTCGAGCATGTCCAGGATCAGGTCAGCCTGTCGCCCCCCCCGCCGCCCCATGCCAGTCGTCAGACACGTCAAACTGCACGTCAAACTTTAGTCAAACTGTGAGGTCAGTGCGGGGAGACGGGCCAAAATGGATGACGAAACCTTCCTAACCATGCTCTAGCAGTGAACGATATGCTCCGCTCGTCGATCCTCCTCCTCCACCACCACCACCACCACCACTACCTCCTCCTCCTCCTCCTCCTCATCATCATCATCATCATCATCATCCTCATCCTCATCCTCATCCTCATCCTCATCCTCATCCTCATCCACCACCACCACCTCCACCACCTCCTCCTCCTCCTCCTCATCCACCTCCTACACAGCTCCTGCTCCTCCTGCTCCTGCTCCTCCTGCTCCTGCTCCTGCTCCTGCTCCTGCTCCTGCTCCTGCTCCAGCTGCTGCTCCTGCGTCCTA